AAGATCCAGAGGAAGATTCCAGGTTTCCCAGAGATGGCAGAGCACAAGAAATCACTAACAACAAAAATCCTGGGTCTTTGTAGAATCATGAAGGAAAACAATGAGGAGACCATGAGCAAAGAGTTGAGAAAACTTGCCAGAATGAAAGGATAACAAGCTCTGTCAAAGCAAACATTGTGCCAAAGTTTAACAGGCAAATATATATTGTTCACAAATAGAGGAAAGATGCCAGAATTAGATCTAAGCTAAATTCCACTGAAACTATGGGTGAGAGAGGTCTGAATTGCTGAGGTATGGGGGGATGATAAGCTACTTGTGCATGGTAATTGGCCTTGCAGAAAAAAAAAGGAAATTTTCTCATGTTTCATGACATGAGGTAGTTTTGTAACTTGGAGCAAGCAGCCTAACAAAGTTAGATCACCACAGAAAATGAAATATAAGAATAGGGCCTTTCTTGGTAATTGAATTTCAAAGGGATGGTTCCCAAGTCCTTGAGAAATAAAACCCTGGGCTGCAAAAAAATAAAAGAATCTCCTGGTGATGGTGAAAGATGATCTCAGAAAACATAGTTCATCAGGGATGGGGGCAAGGAGCCCAGGCTGAAGCAATCAGAAAACATTTAGCTTCCTTCAAGATTCATAGAATTCCTGATGCATCAGATCATCTTAGAAGGCAAAAAGCTTTTGAAAAGAGCTACATCTCAAAGGAACATCAAATTATAAGTTTTCTAAAGTAAATGTTCAAAAGAAAGGGAAGTCAGAAGCCTGGAGTCAGAAAGAAAACTATCAAACTAAAGTTTCGTAAAGCTGAAGGGAGCATTAAGATATTCTTGATCAAATCTCATATTGCAAACATGCAACAGCTTCCTAAAACTCAGGATGAAACAGGAGCAAGAGCATGTAAATTATGGAAAACAGAAAGGAGAGGCCTCAAAAAATTAAAGATAGAGATTCTACATGATCCAGTTATCCCACTTCTGTGAATTAATCTACAGAATACAAAGGCACTAATTTGAAGTGATATGTGCACTCCCATGTTCACTTCAGCATTATTTATAATAACCAAGAGTTGAAAACAACCTAAGTGTCCATCAGAGGATGACTGGATAAAGAAGTTATGGTTATATAAACAGAGGAATATTACCCAGCTATATAAAAGAAAGATGAAATTCTGTTATTGCAACAACATGGGTGAACCTAAAGGCTATTAGGCTTAGTGAAGTAAGTCAGACAGAGAAAGACATATACCATGTGATTTCACTCATACATAGTATATAGAGGAACCAAACAAACAAATGAAATAAATAAAATATAAAATAAATAAAACAAAAATAAACTTCTAGACTATAAGATCAAATTATTGGTTACCATAAAGGAAGAAGGGAAAGTGGTGAGTAAATGAGACATAAGAGGCCAAGTATATTGTGAAGGATAGAATTGGACTTTTAGTGGTGAGCCATCTGCAGTACATACAGATATTGGTTTATAAAAATGCACGCTTGAAACTTATATACTGCAATGTTACTTCACTAAAAAAGTTAAGAGAAAACAGGACCACAAGAAGGCTCAAATTTCAGAATACTGGGAGTAATCAAAGATTGAACAGTCTCTAGAGAGATAAAACAGATAACATACAAAACATCAAGAACTTGGTTGACTCTAAATTCTCTAAGCAATACCACAAAGTAGAAAAAATGCGACAATATTTTGAAAATTCTGAAGGAAAACAATACCCAACCTAAAATACTATACTCAACCAAACTATCAGGTGTGAAGTTAAATTAAAATTTTCATTGTCTGAAAATGAACAATGATGTAAAAAATAAAAAATATATTAAAAAATTTTTAATAAAATTTTCATACATGCCAAGTGTCAATTTGATCCTCGTATCCTCATATCCTCTTTCTTAGGAATCTAATGAAGGTTATGATTGATGTCAACAAAGTAGCTAATCAAGAAAGAAGAAACCTTGAGATATATGAAAGAGGAGATCAAATACAGGAGAAAGAGATAAATAATCTCCTGGTGGTGAAAGATGATCTCAGAAAACACAATTCATCAGGAATGGGGGCAGGGAGCCCAGACTGAAGCAATCAGAAAACACTTAGCTTCCTTCAAGATTAATAGAATCAGATCATCTTAGGAGGAGATTTAAACAATTGGTGCCAAGTCTGAAAGTGAATTAATGGTAAGCAAATGAAAAACAGATTATGCAACAAACAAAAATCAGATCATTATTAATCTTTGAGGAAATTAAAAATTGTTTAGGAAAGGAAAAGTAATCATAGTATACCAAATATCTCACCTATGAATGAAGTTACAGAGTTAAAATAATTTAATCATATTATAACCACACAACAGTATACATCTACTGAAGGGTAGGGTCTGTTGTGGTGGGGGTGGAGAGGGGAGGAGAGCTAAATTCTCATCTGCCATAATGAGATATCAATGTAAAATTCAATCTAAAATAAGAATTGCAAGTTATTTAATTATTGCCTCTGAAAGAAAGGAGGCAGGAGCCAACAAAGACAGCTGGTTTTGAAAACAGGCAATGCGTCACTTCACCCGCAAGTCCTTGGCTTCCCTAGACCGCAGAAGGGACACGGAGTCAGTGGCCACCTTGAAAGCAGGAGAAAAGACAGTAGAGTATGCACAGCAAAAGTTTATTTGCAGTGGTGCGCAGGCCTCTCCTGCCATGTAGCAAGGGTCGTCAGTCTGCCTGTTCTGCTCCCCGCTCTGGCTCTGGTGAATTCTCTCACCCTCCCACGCTTCTGACTGTACCAGGGCTTGTATAAATAAATATTTAAAAAAAAAAAAGTTTATTTGCAGAAAAGCAAAGAAAATCTTTTTTTTTTTAATTTATTTATTTATTTATACAAGCACTGGGTACAGTCAGAAGCAAGGGAGGGTGAGAGAATTCACCAGAGCCAAAGCAGAGAGCAGAACAGGCAGACTGACGAAGTACACTGCTGAGGGGAGAAACGGGCAGCAGGAGAGGTCTGCGCGCCATGTGGGACCCTCGCCCGGCGCCGCGGGGATCGAACCGGCGCTGCAGAGGCTGTGGGCAGCTTCGCAACCCAGCGCTCAACCTCTGTGCCGCTGGGGAGACCCGCAAAGCAAAATCTTTATGTGACGTGAAAGCAGCACAGCAGCACAGCTCCTGTTGTCAGGAGGGGACGCAAATGAGTTGTCATTGGCAGGATTCAGAAGGCTTATTAATCTGTTAGGGTTTTATGTTAGTCTTTGTTCCCTCTTTTGGGGAGGAGGGCTTGTTATGGGGCAGTTTCACATTTTTGTTTCTCTGGAGCTGCTGTTTACTGGCCTTGATCTGTCCTGGCACTCTGTACATTGGGGCCGTCCAGATGTCGCAATCATTTCCCCTCAGCCCCTGCTTACCTCCCTGAAGCTCTCTCCTGACCTTGCTCAGTATTTGGAGGGGGGAAAAAAGACATAAAACTATTATACCTTTAAACTGTATGCATGTATAATTTGATAAAATCAGAACAAATAATTAAATAGAATAAAAGAAAAGTAGGAGAGGATTTTCCTCATCAGATATTAAAGTATACTATAAGTCACTGTATTCAAATCAACTTCTTGTTGACATGGTTAAAAAACAAATTGTGAAACACACACACACACACACACACACACACACACAAAGGCCAAATACAAACACAGCCCACTACATAAGAGCATTTAAACATGAAAAAAAAAATTTAATTTTGTAGGGAAAAAATAGATACAAATGACAATCCATGTGAAAGGAAATAAAACTATACCCCCATATCGCACAATATAATGATATAAAAATTAATTCTAAATGCATTAAAGATAAATGCAAAATTAAGCAATAAAAATCCTAAGAAAAATCTAGAATATATGTACAACTAAAAGCTTTCTTTAAAAAGTTGACTTTATAAAAGTAAATTGTTACATGGCAAAAGATACCCTAACAAAATTAGTAAAGAATTAGCAAATAATCTGTGAAGACATGCTTTAATTTTGGAGTAGAGAAAAACAAATTAAAGTAGCCATATAATGAACTTACGTATATATCATATTGGCAATTTACTTGTTTGCTAAAGTAAAATGTTGCTTGGTCTGCCAGGCAAAGGAACTGCTAACAGAAATATGTTATTAAGGATGTTTTTAAGAAGTAATCTGCCATTATCAATTAAATTTACATTTCAGGCAACCTCTGCCCAGAAGTCTCACACTTGAACACCTATCACATAAAAATGAAATCTCACACTTGAACACCTATGACATAAAAATGAACGTGCCAGTGAGTAAGAATATCAGTACACGGATGTTTTTGTAGCTTTGTTTGGAAAGGCAAAAATTGGCAAACCTACAAGGGTTTTTTTTAGAACGTCACTGACAAAAACAGATGTTTCAATATGTTAAGCCACAAAACCCTTACTCAACACACTCAGTTCCACTTGAACACTATCCTTGACCTAGGAAGAAAACTAGTATTTTCCTTCATCTTCCTTCTTTACATTCTTTCATCTTCCTTCTTCCTCTTGTTTCCTCCATTTAAACACTTTCAAATTTTTTAATTCTATGTCAGCAAAACTTCTCAAACCCTTTAAGATAATGACATGTCCAATATTTTCCATGAGAAAGAAAATCACTCTATTTGTTTTCACACTCATTATTTCCCATTAGACTAAACCACCTTTAAATAAGCTAGTCCTATGAGATTCCAAAAAATTGATTAATGATTATATGACTAAAAAGCAGCAATACATTGTGTAATCCTATCCACATGTAACATCTTTCTCTGGAAAGATGTAGAACAAATTCTCAACAGAGCAACTTCATTTGGTTGGTGGAGTTACTATTCATCCTTATTTTATTTCTGTTCTACAAAGTCCACATTTCATTCAATAAGTATATAAGTAATATATTGTGTCATTGGAACCCACAAAAAATACAATGTTTTAAAATGTCATTATCACCGGAAGCATTTTTGAGCATATTGAGTAGACGCCATGAGTAAAGCTCACCCTCCCAAGATGAAAGAAAATATGAACAAGACATTATTATTGAAATTAAATGGTGGCAAACTTTCCCAGGAAATACTACAGGGATTTGATCACTTTATGAATCATGTGATAGTTGAATGTATGGAGATGGCAAGCAGTGGGCAACAGACCAATATTGGAATGGTGGTGATATGAGGAAATGGTACCATTATGTTAGAAGCCTTTAACTGAATATAAACAATGGCTGTGTTCACAAGATAAATCAATTACATCCACATGCTCCCTCTCCACAGCATCTTTTTTTTTTTTTTTTATTTATTTATTTGTTTGTTTGTTTACACATGCACTGGGTACAGTCAGAAGCGCGGGAGGGTGAGAGAATTCACCAGAGCCAGAGTGGGGAGCAGAACAGGCAGAAGGACCGAGGTACACTGCTGAGGGGAGCAGCGGGCGGCAGGAGAGGTCTGCGCGCCATGTGGGACCCTCCTCTGGTGGCCGGGGAGCAGCCGGGGATCGAACCGGGGCCGCAGAGGCCGCGGGCAGCTTCGCAACCCAGCGCTCAACCGCTGCGCCACCGGGGAGGCCCCTCCACAGCATCTTTTTAATATGATACAAAATTGGGTCATAGACTTTTCTTACTGAACACTTTTGTTAAATAAACTTTTGTAATAGTCAAAAAGATAAACATGCAATTTGCAGCAACATGGATGGAGCTGGAAGGGAACATGCACAATGAAATAAGCCAGAAAGAAAAAGAAAAATACCGGATGGTCTCACTCATAGCAGGAATTTAGAAAATCTAAATAAGGGACCAGGAAAAAGACTAATTATAATAAAGTAAAAATCAAAACCAACAAGCAACTATAAACCAGAGACACAATGGGTGAGGGGGAAGGGAGTAGGATCAAAACAAGGGAGGTGGGAATTGTATGGGGACTGTAACCAAGATGAAAATGCATACATTGTGCAAAAATGAAAAATGATGTAAAAAATACATGAAATTAAAAAATTAAAAAAAAAACTTTTGTAATAGTCAATAAAGAACTTTATCTAATTTTTGTCTTCACCCATATTGATGTAATTATATGAGTGAGAGAGGATGTTTTTTTTTTTAAGATTTTATTTATTTATACAAGAACTGTGGTATAGGTCAGAGGTGTGGGAGGGTGAGTGGATTCACCAGAGACAGAGCGGAGAGCAGAACAGGCATACGGACCGCAGACACTGCTGAGGGGAGCAGCGGGCAAAGCAGGAGAGATCTGCCATGCCATGTGGCTTTCTCGCCTGGCCAGCTGGGAATCGAACCTGCACTGCAGAGGTTGCAGACAGCTTCACAGTGCAGGGCTCAACCCGCTGCACCACCAGGGAGGCCCGGTGATATTTTTTAAAGATACTTATTTAAATAGTGAAATGAATAATTTCATTCGCAACATATAAAATTAGCCCAGAAAATAGTAGACCTACTCTTATGTCTGAGACTACAAGTGAAATTTTTCAATGTAATTTTAAAGGAAAGGGCGATTCTATCTGGTAGCCTCTAAATTTTGAGAAAGTGGTCAGTAGCCTCCTGCTCATTTGCTTTTGTCCAGTGGCATGTAAATATAAGATGGATGCTGATATACCTACATAAGTAAGATTACCACTAAGGAAAGCTCAGGAAGTATAACTCTACTGAAAATATATTAGCCCATAAAACCAAGTTACTGCTATTCTTATTCTGGAGCTTATTGAGAAATAAGTCTCTATGAGGTTATATCATAAGTAGCTATAATAGAAAGCATCTTGAAGAGGTCACACACTAAAGAAGCCATAATTCTCCCATAATGGGGAAAAATCACATTACATGTAGCCTTTCTAGGAAGATAGGTATTGAATGCACCATGAACTTGAGGATACTATGCCAAGGAGAACTAAGTGTCTGTTTAAGTGGTTCTTCTGATTTAAAGTTATAATAACTTACCCTCCCTCATTTCAATATAACATTATATTTCAGCAACTCAAGGTCCTAACATGAGTTCAGTTAATACAGATAAAAAACTATCTCAATCTCATGCTTCCAATAACCTGATTAACATAAAACAATATGAATGGTGGTAAAAACAGCATCAGAACCAATGACAAGTCTTAGACTCTAGACATGTAGCTGCCACTAGCTGACCTTGAGTAAGTCTCCTAATTAATTTTTCTTTGCTACAACATGGTTAAGTTAGATGATTTCTAAATCTCCTGCCAGAAATTCTACAGCTTTCTGGCTGGTTGTAATCAGAACTGAAGAACTGACAACTTGTCAGCCTATGGACACAACTAAGGTCCTCCCTTCCTCTGCCCCTCAGTGCAATAAATCTGGTTCTCCTTGTTTTCAGTGCTTTTTCCTTCCTCCTACCAATTCTATACTTGCATTCACCCATTATTCTCCAGCAACAATAACAATGTTCATTGAACAATTTATCTATGCCATACACTTTACATTTATTATCTCATTTAAACCTGATCTACCTTATGAAATAGGCAAAATTATTTTCTCATCTTACAGATCAGAAGCCTGACACTTAGGAAGACAGTTTTTCCTTCACTGCTACCTATGAATGCTATATTCCTATGTATACCGTAGAATAATCTTTTAACATCTTGAATGAAGTCCTTGACCATTGCAAACAACCTGATTAACATGTAAGAACAGTAGTAAGGGCCTCCCTGGTGGCGCAGTGGGTTGAACACAGCACTGTGAAGCTGTCCACAGCCTCTGCAGCCCTGGTTTGATTCCCAGCCGGCAGGGAGATTCCCACATGGTGTGGCAGACCTCTCCTGTTGCATCCACTGGCCCCCTCAGCAGTGTATTTCAGTCATCTACCTGTTTTGCTCCCCACTCTGCCTCTGGTGAATCCTCTCACCCTCCCGCGCCTCTGGCCTGTACCCCGGTTCTTGAATAAAAAAAATCTTTAAAAAAAAAAGAACAGTAGTAAAACAATGGTAACAAGCATACAAGGAATAAAGAAGCAATCTCCCAATGTCTCAGTTCACTGCTATTTTCATGATTCTTAAGTAAATCCCTTAAATGATTTCTGAGGTTTAAATGGTTGTGGAAGCTGTTTGAGGAAAAGAATGATTTTTCTAGCTACTTTCCTGCTAATCTGCATAGATTTAAGGCTTCTTCAGCAAAATAGATTTTGGTTGCAATAGGTTTATTTTGATCAGGACAAGATTTTCACACTCACAAAAAGTAAATCAACAGGTCAGGAACCAGAGAAACATTTTGGTCACAGGAACTTCTTTCCTTTCTAATCAACTAAGTGTAAATGACTGATATTCCCTTAAGCTGTGAGAAAATTATGAGAAACATTACATTGTGGCTGTAAACAGTAAAATGACCTTGCATTCTGGAGCAGGTTACTTATCCTAAGTCTCTCCTTTGTAAAATGATATGAAGTACCTCTTTGCAAGGGAGTTTATAAGAAATAGATAATTTATATTAAATACTTAAAATGGTAAGCATTCAGTAAATATTAGATAAAAATAATGTAGACATTGATAATAAAACATATTATAAAAAGATGCACACACATATGTATACACATGAGAAAACCAAGAGGATCCCACAGATTACACAGAAACTGATGCTTACTCTAAACCTTGTGAAAATTATTTAGACCTTGAAATATGCTCAAACAGCATAATACCACAAAACCACAAAGACTGCCTGCTATCTTTCCAGTGAGTTTGAGGAAGTCAGGTAAAACAACTAAGCAGAAAACAGCACCAGAGGCCCCTGCAGACATTCATTTTTACTGCAAAGGGCTCTGGAGCCACCTTGTGGCCACATGGCACAGCCGTTGAACAACAAATCCAGCTCTACAGAAGCTGTGAAGTCTGAGCTCTCAAAAGGCCCTGTTTAATAATAGAGGAGTTAAATAATTTCCTTAGAGAAAAAGCCCTATCCATCTCAGATGGAAATAGTCCCTAAAATTCACCTTACTTCCAAACCTATCTTGTTTTTACTGAATTAACTCAACTAACCATTCTGTGAAACTGGTGGTGAGTCGTTAAGGATTCTGCAGCTACCAATGACTAGGAAAGATAGTCTAGTTCTACGACTTAATAGAGCTTGATCCAAAAAGAACTACCATAGAGATGTGTAGTCAGAAATGAGGGATTTGCAAGAAGCTAGTCAGAATAGAAAGGCAATACTAAGGGCAGGCCTAGAAAGGACTGAGTATTCTCTGCTAATACTAGACATATGAGAAAGGTCAATACTTTCAGAAGCTCACCTAGGAGAAATCTTTAGGAAATACTAAGAAACAACAAATAACATAATATGTTAGCAATTTCCTTATTAATAAAACACAGTAGAAAATTCAAAAAATTTTAAATGAGACTATATCAAACCAAAAAACTTCTCCACAGCAAAATAAATCATCATTAAAATAAGAAGACATCCTGCTGAACAGGAGAAGATATTTGCAAACCATCTGTCATACAAGGGGTCAAGCAATAATCAAAATATATATAAACAATTCAACAACGAAAAAAACAACCTAATCAAAAAATGGGCAGAGGACCTAAACAGACACTTTGCCAACAGATACATGGAAAGATATTTACTCCTCTTATTGTTAGAGAAATGCAAGTCAAAACACCAATGACAGGGCCTCCCCTGGTGGCACAGTGGTTGAGTGCTGGGCTGAGAAGCTGCCCTGAGCCTCTGCAGTGCTGGTTCCATCCCCTGCTGCCGGCGAGGGTCCCACATGGCGCCACAGACCTCTTCTGGGGCGTCGGCTGCTCCCCTCAGCAGTGTATTTGGTCAGTCTGCCTGTTCTGTTCCCCGCTCTGGCTCTGGTGAATCCTCTCACCCTCCGGTGCTTCTGACTCTACCCAGTGCTTGTATCAATAAATAAATAAATTTTAAAAAAAAAATGACATATCATTTCACTCTTCCAAAAATGGCTACTCAATAGACAAGATAGGGGAATAAACTAAGTACTCACTGATAAATGGTTGAAAATGTGACATATACATCTATACACATACACACACCAATGAAATATTATTCAGCAATTAAAAAGAATGGAATCTGTTATATGCTACATGAATGGATCTTAAGGGTATTTTGCTAATCAGAGAAAGACAAATAGCATATGATCCCACTAAGTTATGGAATATATAAGAAAAAACCTTAGATTATGACAACAGAATGGTGA